AGGACGAAAAATTCAACATTCAGAGACGAAACATTTCGTCGCCAAAAATCAAAAATAGGTGACGAAACTGTTTTTCGTCACCAAGTACTTTCAGCAACGACGTATAGGCCACGAACGTGGTGACAAATTTTTTTCGTCGCAAATCACTTTAGTGACGAAAATTTGATGTTTGAAGACAAAATCAGTCTGTCACCAAAGGCCTTTTTTGTTGTAGTGAGTCTTGATATAAGAACTCACCAACACTATAGAAGTTAAAATATTTGTCCAAAAACACAAGTTTAAGCAAAATGTCCAAAATATCTTATATATACATAGCTTCATCATACAGTCACTCTCTCTCACTCTTCCTCTTTAAACCCTAACTCCCTATCTCTGATTTTGCTCCTTCGCCGCTACTCTTCCAACACTACTCCTCTATCGTCCTCCGTCGATGCTCTTCCATCCTTTTCCATCGATGTTCCTCGTCATTGAACCAGATTTCCATAACTTCGCAGCTATTGTTAAACCAAAGCTCCATTATTTGTCTCCTAATTATTTAACAAGTATGAGTTAACAAATCATAATTAATTTAAAATACTACATAAATAATACTATAAAATATTTTGAAACTACTGAATAATAACATTTGAAATATGTATTTTCAGTTATCTCAATGTTGTTTGTCTTCAAAATTCAAAATCAATCCACTATGGCTTAAGTTCCGTTTGAAAATTGATTGAATTAATTGATTTGTTTTTTTTTTCATTTATAAAAAGGACATGTAAAAATTAGAAAAAGTGATATGATAAGTTATATTAACATTTTGACTATAAACCCAAGTTCCCAACCGTGCCTAGTAAACTATATGTTTCCTTCCTAATCAAGGATAAAATTTAGAAAAAAGGTTGCGACTCCTTTTTTGGGAACCCCCACCACCCCCAATGTATTGTGATTGGCTAACTTTTTGCTTTGTTTTTTTTTTCCTCCTATCTCTGATTGACCTGTGTCTGTGGGGGTTGTAGGAGTAAAAAAAAAGAGGGTCTTTATCATTTTTGTAAAATTTATAGGTTTAGCTTCTCTCAAGTTAGTCATCTCAACTTGAGAGAACGTTTGAATTTGATAGACCCATTTTAGTTCCAATTTTAATAATCTGAACCATTCACTTTTTAAGACTTGTTAAGTAAAATATTTATGTAAAAAATTAATATAATCGGATATCGGTAGCTATAAGGGTTTTTATGTGACTTTCTCTCTCTAGGAAGAGTTTAATTCACAAACAAGTTTAGAAGTCGTTGGGGTTGGGGTTGTGTTGTTGTAGGGGTGGTGAAATGAAATTGAAGGGTGGTAAGGAGATGGAGCATAAGTTGCCGGTGGTGAGGAAGGAGTGGTAAAGGGCAAATGAGGGTGGTTGGAGCTGGTGGTTGGGTTGGAAGTAGGGGTAGGGATGGAAAGAAAATTGAAAATTTATGAAGTAAATTTATAATAAAAAAATAAAACATTTAAGGGATATGAGTGCCAATAAAAAAAATGTGCTACTATGCAAGGAATATGAAGTGACACTTGGCACATTTAAATCGGGTCATGGCATGTCATGGTTCATCACACATTACATGCTGGTTTACTACTTTAACACTCTGTGTAAATAATTAATTATCTTGTTTCTAATTTTTTAAATTTAATTTTTTTTAAATTAATTTTTTTAATTTTAGTGATTTTTTAACATTTTAAGTAAAAACAATTTACTTTTTAAATATATTAATATAAATACAATAAAAAATATAATATTTGCGAATTTTTTTATAAAAAAAAAATCACTAAATACTAAAGATACAAAAAAAAATATAAAAATTTAATATATTTTCATATTCTTGTGTATTTATTAAGTTTTTTCAAAAATATTTTACTCTTTAGGTATGTTTAGGTTAAGTACGTCTAAAAAGTAAAAAATGCGCTTAAACTATTATTAAAAAAAATCACTGAAAATAAAAATATATAGAAAATAAAATAAAAAACTCAATTTTCAAAATATTAAATTCAAAAATTAAAATTAAACGAGGTAAATGGAACTACAAAGTCAGAAAATATTTAGAATTGATAATCAATGGTCCAAATTAATTCATGATGTTAGTCATAACAAACACTTTTATTATGTATTATACATCTCACAAATAATTTTCTGAAACAACTTTTTAAGTTCAGAGACTTTTTCCAATATGCGAAGAGAATTTGAAAATCAGTCTAAACCAAACATGAATGAGACCAATTTGACAATGATTGATATACGACTTCCTATAGATGACCAATTGAATTACCCAATTAGTTTACATTCTCTAGATCTAGAAAGTGCTGGGTTTCTGTTTTAGAATCATCTTAATGAATTTTTTTAAAAAAATCTAATTTAGTGGAGGCAAAAATATATTAAAAAATTACTTATTATTTTCATATGATTTTATGTTTTTTCTTTGGGGGGTGAAAACAATTTTTAAAAATAATATTTTTCTAATATTTATTTTTGTCAAACTAATTTCTATTTTTTCAAAATGAAAATAAAAATCAGAAAATAGAAAAAGAAAAAGTAAAAGAAAAAAAAAAACTAAACCTAGAGTCTCGGGCTTTTAATTTTTTATTTTTTATTTGGCAATTCATAATTGACCCAAATTAAATATGATGTTGTGAACCGAGAGGAACACGGACACAGAACATTTTCCATGTTTTAGAAGGAATGAAATTGCATAATAAACCACTTCTATAGATTTATCTTGGGTTATTTTTTTAATAAATTCTCTTTCTAAGTATTTTATTCTATCTAATTCATATTTTTGATGTATTTTATTAAGTCTTGTTTAATGTAATATGATTAAATCATCGTTTCTAATTTTGTGCACATATTTCTATTTTGAAATTAATATATAACAATAGTCTCTCAATTTATGGAGAAAATTTCTACCTTATTCTAAGTAGAAAATCTCTCCCGCATTCTATGAAGAAAATCTTAAATTATGAATTTTGAACCTTTTTATAATTTGAAAATTTTAAAAATAACGTAACAAAAAATCTGAATGATAATTAAAATACAATGTGAATGTTCACAGTAAATAACAAACATAAGACTAACTTTTGAAAAAATAAAACACATACTAAAGTACAATATGAATTCACAATAAATAACAAACATACAACTATCCTTCGAAATAAAATTTATACCAAAATACAATGTGAATGTTCACAATTTGTAATTAACATGCAGCTGGCCTTAAAAAAAATAACTCATAGCAATAATGTAAACATTTACACTGCAATGTGCAAATATAAAACAAAATTGAAAAAAGTGAAAATCAAATATTCAATTGTTCAATGGTAATAAAAATTATTGTTCAACTAACAATCATAGTAACAAAAATAACAAATATACGACTAACTTTTGAAAAAATAAATCTTATACCAAAATGGAATGTGAATGTTCACAATTTACAAGTAATATACAACTAATTTTTAAAATTAAAAAAATTCATACCAATGTGAACATTCAGACTGTAACGTGAAAATATAAGATAAAATTGAAAAAAGTGAAAATCAACTATTTCGATTATTCAATGGTAACAAAATGATTGTTCAACCAACAAGTATAATTAAAAAATAACAAAATACAACTAACTTTCGAAAAAAATTCAAAAAAAACTCATACCAAAATACAATGTGAATGTTCACAATTTATAATTAACATACAACTAATCTTAGAAAAACTAAATTCATACCAATGTGAACATTCACACTGCAACATGAAACAAATTGAAAAAAAAAATGGTTGTTTCAATAATGGTAACAAAAAATAATTATTCAAACAAGAAATATAGTAACAAATAACCAATAATATATGCACATTCACATTTTTACAAAATATATAATTATGTCCATATCTATGCTTTAACACTTATTTATTAGACTTTCAAACAATGTGAAACGTCAACATTCACACTAATGGACAAAAGAATAGAAACACTGGTAGCAATAAAATTAGCAATTCAAAAAAGACTTAATCACTCTAAAAATAAGAAAATATCACACACATCTTCATCTTCATCATCATCGTTATCACTATCACTATCAGTAACAATATATGCAATTTCACCATTCCACGAATCCAAATCAAACCAAATCTATCTTTGAAGAATATGTTTGTAACAAAATTGACTGGACATAAACAGAGTTTCGACTTACAACAATAGAGAAACACAGAGTTTCGAACACATGGCAACAATGGACGAACACAGAATTTCAAACACAAAGTGACAATGAAGGAACACAAAGTTTCACTGCAACAATAGAGAAACATAATATTTTTCACCACCATATGTAAACTAGAATTTCTAAACTTTAACAAATAGAGAGTTTTGAAACCCTAGCACAATGAAACAATACCATAAATATGAATGAAACTGATCAAAAAGAAAAATGTGAATAATGGTAACTACTAAAATAGAGGTAGCAACAAAAATAAAATGTGTATATCATTTTTCTATGTAATACATATCAATTATAGATATAAGTGTATAATAGTCTAACAAACAATATAAATCAAAAAAAAAAAAGATCTCATAAAATAAAAATATAAATATATAAGACTAATTAGGTTATAATTTTTCTTAATGAATTTATTGGGTTAGAACACTCCTAAATGATATTTATCAATAGAAAACCTTTTTTATATAATTAAACCACAAAAATAATATAATAAATTATTATTATGAATTGCAAATTACATGTGTGTATTTATTTATTTATAGATAGCGACGTGTGTGTATTTATTACTAACCAAATAGTGATAGAGTTCAATCCAAATATCCAAAGACCAGCTCCAAATATCCAAATTTCAAAAGTGTTAGTTACAATCCTATCACGTTATAGATATTTTAGTCCTCCTCAAACTCCTCCTACTAGGCTTTGTATATATTTAACCCTTCCTCTCTTCACTCAAAAAATTCACACACACATTCTCTCTCTCTCTCTGCATAGTTTGGAAGATGGCGACTGCAGCACTTGCTCGTACCATCGTTGGAGTTATTGGTATGCTCTTCAAATACCTCTCTCTCTCTCTCTCTCTAAAATGTACATGTTCATGCATGGTAATATGCATATACTGATCTTCGTGAATTGATCAATGCTGAGCTAAGAACTAAAATTTTTGGCTTATGCTAGGGTTTTGCGAACTATATTTTGTTTTGTTAATGTTTGTTGATTTCTTCTACGAAAATAAAAAATAAAAAAAAAAACATATTATCTTAATTCTCTCTGATTGAACCCTAGATATCTATATATATATATATATGATGATGTTGTTAGTTAAATAGGCTATTTTAATAATTTTTCTGTTGTTTTGTTCACTATAGATAAATAATTTAATAATAATAATCATTCTCCTCCTAAAGTTTTATATATCTTTATCATTGGTTTTGATTGGCCTAATTAAACTATTCCTTCGGTCTTTTTTATTTCTGCAGGGAACGTTATCTCTTTCTGCCTGTTTATCTCTCCAATGTAAACCCTCTCTCTCTATATATTATCTATTATTTATTATGTACATATATATCTGCATGTATCACATGTTTTAAAATTAAAAAAAAAAAAAAATTGAATGAAATTGAAAATTTCTCTAAAGATTAATAAATAAATGAATAGTTTAGCATGCAGCCAAATATTTGGTAAATTTCCTACATATATATACATAAAACAATAAATAAATAAATAAAATTATGGATATGAGATTTGCCATAAATTTTACCCCAATTGTTGGTTCAATTTTTTTTTTTTTTTATTACTTAAAGTTTTATTCCACAAAAAAACTCAAATACACTATATGGATTGCATTTATAAGCCACAATATTTGAATATTTGAATATTTGAATAATAATTATTATTATTATTTTGTTTGTGGCTAGGCCAACGTTTTGGAGAATATTTAAGAACAAATCAGTGGAGGAGTTCAAGCCAGATCCATACCTAGCAACGGTGGTGAACTGTATGTTTTGGGTTTTCTATGGTCTTCCCATAATTCATCCTGATAGCACTCTCGTCATCACCATCAACAGCGTTGGCCTCGCCCTCGAGTTGTTCTACCTCACCATCTTCCTTATTTATACTACCAATCACAAAAGGGTAATCATCTACCATTCCATTCCTTTTTATGATATTGCAATTTTCCATCTCAAGCATATTGAATCAAGGTGTCTTTACCCCAATATTAAAGCTCTATTTTGATCATAATTTGAGTACTTACTTAGAAAGAAAGCAATTTTCCATCTCAAGCATTGCTCAAGGTGACTTAGCCCCAATATTAAAGCGCCATTTGGTTCATGCATTTGGGTATTGATTAGATTGAAAAAAAGAGTTCCTTTTATCTTTTTCTTTTCCTTTCCAATTCATTATTCGAATCCATCAGATAAACATAGCTTAAGGGCTTGCCTATTAGGCATGATGTTTAGATTTAAGTCTTACTATTATTTTTCTTTTTTTCCATTCGTTTTTTAGGACTTGTATTAAAAATAAAAATTAAAAAAACGAAAGAAAAAGAATGTGACTTAGCCCTCGGGTACAAAACCGAAGAATTCTCTTATCCAAAAAATTCCTTTCGCCCTATCTTAATTTAGTCATATCTTTTGAATCATTTGAAAATATTCAAGTATAAGTAAAAAAATTAGGAGACACATAATTAAAAGGTCTCAAGTGAATTAAAATATATATAGGGAATAAATAACATTTTCTCACTTCATAATTGGTTACACTTTAAATGGGATTCATCATATATACTATTTAGTGTTGTTTAGCAAGTGTTCGCTAACAAAATCTTACTAAAAAAAACTAATCTGTGTGTATATGCATATCTATTTTCAGTTGAAGATCGTTCTTTATCTTGTGCTGGAGGTGGTGGTTCTCGTTGCAGTTGGTGTTCCAACGATTCTAAAAGTTCACACGCATGAAAAGAGATCCATGGTTGTGGGTATTTTCTGCGTCATATTTGGAGGATTGATGTACGCTGCTCCTCTCACCATTATGGTATATATTTATCTTCTTACAACAATCTCATGCATGCTCATGCATTTTAGAAATATGGCATTTTCATATAGAATTTAAAGATGGAATAATATGATAATAATACTTTTAGAATTATTATGAATCATAATAAAACAGGCCACAATATATCATTATTCTGTTTACAATCATTATTGATTAATTTCTATCTCTTACTTCAAACAGAGAAAGGTTATAAAAACAAAGAGTGTAGAATTTATGCCATTTTGGCTCTCCTTTGCTGCTTTTTCTAATGGAGTTATCTGGCTCATCTATGCTCTCATAAAGTTTGATCCCTACATCTTCGTAAGTTCTTTTATTTTTTAATTTTTTAATTTTAAATTAGTTTATGTTAAGTTGATCATAACCATTTTGTAAATTGGAAATTAGTTTAATTTGTTGTTTATGATTACTGTAGACTGGGAATGGTTTGGGAACATTGTGTGGTGCTGCACAGCTGATTCTATACGCATACTACTACAAGTCAACTCCAAAGGGCAATGAGAAAAACCCACCTCAAGTCCAGATGGCAGCATTGCCTTAATTGATGATCATTTTCAGAATCCATTGCTCCATCCACCTTTCTTTTTTTTTTGGGTGGCATGGCAATTTTTTATTTTTTTAGATTTTTGCAGATTTTATACTTACGATGGATGCTTCTCTCTTCCTGTGATTGGATTTATAAAAATAATTTTGTTTGAATTTTCATTCTTGTTATGTTTAAATTTTTTAAAAAATTTCTTTTCACAATTTCAAGATGTAAACATAATTTTAAAATCATCTGTTATCTAATCTAACCCTTTGAAGCGCAAGTGAAGATGTACAAGCTAGAAAAATTCAATGTCGACCAAAGTCTCGTTTGAAAAGTAATTATTTTAGTTTAAAAGTCAAAAAAAATTTAAAAAAATTAAAAAGTCTATAACTTATGCTAAAACGTCAAAGATTCTCTTTTTTTTTTTATTTTTTATACATCTTTTTGTAAAAAATCAAAAAATCATTCCAAACATACAAATTTTTTTTATCTCATATTTTAGCCAAAAAGTCAAAAAATTACTAAGATAACCTATTACCAAACGAGGCCTAAGCCTTTGTTTGGCATGTTAATTTTTAAGGTTATGGCTAAAATAGTCATAAAAAGATTGGCATGTTAATTTTTAAGGTTATGGCTAAAATAGTCATAAAAAGATAAAAATATGTTAAAAAGTCAATAAGATAAGATGTCAGATCCAAACTATAATCATTTTATTTTTTTTCTCACAATGTCAAAAAAAATTAAAAAAAACCCAACCTAAATGAGATTTTTTTAGTCCCAAACTAAAATAACCAAAAAAAAAAATTTCACATTTCAAATGAAACCTAAGATTTCAGGTCCATACGAAAATACAAATTTTGTCAATGTTTTTACTAGATTTTTTTTTCATTTTAAATTATTTTTTGTAGATTAAATTCAAATGCTTGTATTGTAATCAATGACAAGTTATTGAATAAAACTTAAATATTTACAATTGCTCGTAAGATTGAACACAACATTAAAAAAAGGGGATCTAAAAGTTATTGGATTTTCGTTCAAAAAAGATATTGGATTAGAAATGTAACTCTTCCTAACTTATGTTTGATTTAAAAAATAAAAAATAAAAAAACTGAAAATTTTGAAAAATAATTACATATTAATGATAAATATTACAAATATATTAAAATATTAACTTATGAAATTTTTCATAAATATGTAAATATTTTACAAAAACATCATTATGCCTAATTTCTTTAAAAAAATTAGAAATATTAAAAAATAATTGTACTATAAATAAAATATTTTGTAATACAACTCTGACACACAGGCCAATGAAATCAATAAACTTGCACCATGATAGAAACAAAATTATTTTTTCGTTTCACCACTTAAATATAATTTCCTAAAAAAAAATTACTAGTAAAGAAAAAATAAAAAAATTTAAAAAATTTAAAAAAAAAAACACCAAAAACTCCATATCCAAAGCACGGAATTGGGGATGCTGTTGGCCAACCCACGTAGCAGCAGCTGCTATACGGTGAAATAAGCCTATTTCGGAGTTTATTTTGATAATTCGAATTATTCACATTTTAGAATACATTAATATGTATGTAAAAAGTCAAGTTAATCAGATATCGTTTATTCCTTCATCCATTCACATATGTATTCATTTTAATACTTTAAATCACAATTATTATTTATATTTGTAAATTTAAATTACAATTATTATTTATATTTGTAGATACAAATGTGAGTGGATGAATGGGTAAATGATATCCAATTAACTTGATTTTTTGCAGGCATGCTCTATTTGATGTATTTTAAAATGTGAACGGTTCAGATTATCCAAATGAGCCCTGAAAGGGGCCCTGTGACAACCCTACTCTATGTTAATTATGCTTATAATTATGAGCTTGATATGATTTTGAATGCTAATTATATGATTATATGTGTTTTTGAATTTCTATCTGTTCACCGTAGGAAAATCTGTTCAACTTACTGTTATGAACTGAAAATTGAAGGCCTTATCGGCCACAGAAATCAAAATTGACTACGCCATTGTGATTGACATAATTTTTAGAGCCTATGGTAAAATTTAATTAAAAATTGATTCGGATCAAAGGAAATTTTTTAATTTTTTTTATTAAAAGACAAATTGATTATAAAATTAAAAAAAATAAATTTAAACAAAATATCATATCAAATCTCATAATCATTTTATTTTTTCTCTCACAAACATCACATCCAACTAAAAAAACCTAATTATTTTTTTAAAGATAAAAAAAAATTTCTCCAATAATACCTTATAACTAAAAAAATCTTACAAAAAAAAAAAAAAAAAAAAAAAAAACTCGCCTCCCAAACAACCACTTAACCGTATCTACTTCACCTTCACAATTTGCTCTTTACAATCCCTAAAATGTTATGAATTCACTTTAAGCTGCAATTTCCATGGCAGCAACTCTCTCATGCCATTACTGTCCTTCTCTATCTCCCTCTTCAAAGCTCATCAACCTGTATAATATTCCCCGATTATGTCCGCTTCTCAAATTCTTAGAAAACCCCCTCTTTTCACCGACTCAGACCCTGCTCTTCTTCCCAAATTCACCCTCGATTTCCAATCCAGATCAGGTAAAACTCGAATCACATCTCTCTCTCTCTCTATATATATATATATATATGTGTGTGTGTGTGTGTGTGTGTGTGTGTGTGTGTGCATTACTGAATTTGCGTTCAATTTTGTTTACGAAATTGAACTAATTTCAGGAAGGTAGGTATTTTCCATTGAAGGAATGTGCGATTTCGTATACACTGAATTTGCGTTGAATTTTGTTACGAAATTGAACCTATTTTAACGAAACTGTGTAATTTGGGCAGGAAGATAGGGTTTTTCCATTTAAGGAATGTGCAATTTCAATAGCATTAGCGATTGGGTTAATAACTGGAGTACCTGCATTGGATTGGTGTAATTATGCCAATGCAGCTACTCCAGCGGTGTTGCCAGAGTTGTCGGGGCTGATCTCAGGGCCGCCAATCCAGGATCCGAGAGCATTGTTGAGACACGCTTTGCCTATTGACAATAAAGCAAGGGAGGTTCAAAAGCCACTTGAAGATATCACTGACAGTCTCAAGATTGCTGGACTCAAAGCACTTGATTCTGTAGAAAGAGTAAGAATTTGGTTTTGTTTGTGATGATAATGAATTAGATCATCAATGGTGATGTAGAATTGTGTTTTTGTGATTTGTAGAATGTGAGGCAAGCCTCTCGGGCTCTTAAGCAGGGTAAAAGTCTACTTGTTTCGGGATTGGCTGAATCAAAGAAGGACCATGGGATTGAATTGCTTGGCAACCTTGAAGATGGCATGGGTGAGCTTCAAATCTAAACAGAAGGAGCTGCTTAATTTTGTTGGAGGGTGAGTACAAAAAACTCGCTTGGTTAAGGATTCAATAGGTTTTGAAGATGACAATTATGACTAGGGTAAGATTGTTACGTTGGTTGAAGATAACATGTGTAGGCCATGAACCTTGATGCTTGGTTATGACATTATATTTTCTCAATTGATAATCAGTAGTCACAATTCACAAACAAGTTTAGAAGTCTTTGTAGGATGATGTGGCAAATTAAAATGGGAAAACATCGTATTTAAGAAATATGTTTGAGTCTCGTATATGTGGTGGTGAGCTAGATATAGGTTTATTAGTTGGAATATATGGCATCTTTAACACCGTGCCCTTGCATTTGAACCAAAAAAGTATCCACAAATTTGAGTTTTAAGGCCTAAAGGCATTTCCCAGTTTGGCCAGTACCTTTGTGAGCAGTGCCATACAAATTTGAATTTATTCTATATGGGCACTAAGTAACCTGAGTAAGGGGCCAGTGGGAACTCATATTCAAATTCATTTAGCGGAAAATGTGGGGGAAGAAACTAAATTATTAGGCACCTTCAAATCTTCTATTTTGTGATACTTCGCAAAGCACTCTGATATCAAAGATTTCACTTTCGATTGACATAAAATCTAATCTAACTTTGTGATGAAGTTAGGTTTATGATCTTATATAATACGGTAACTTGTGTTATTAGTGCTTGTAGACCAACGTCAGTGGAACTGTATAGTGTTGTTGCTACTTTCTATGGCCTGCCAAAACTTAGCCCAAGTTTTATTTGGAAGGTCACACCATAGGCTGACTTCACTGACCACAGTTTGATAATTTCTACCTCCTCAACAAGTAAACTATGCCTCCGTTTGGGAAGTGGGTTGGTTTTTTGGCTTTTTGGGCTATTTTAGCCTGGGGCTAAAAAGCCTAGTTTGGGAAGGGCTTTTGGCTTTTTTGGTTTTTTTGACTTTTTTTGTGAGAGAAAAAATGTAATGATTATGGGTTGGATGTGATGTTTTGTCTTATTAGGCTAAAATAGCCTATTTTGTCTTATATGGCTATTTTAACCCAAAATTTGCTTCCCAAACGGAGGCTATGTTGCTTTTCGACTTCCTGGTTAATCTTGTTTGTTTAACTGAATAATTGAAAATTTCGTTTATGCTTCAGTTTGCTATCTTGGTGTCTGCTATAGGTACAAGGTGTTTGCTATAGGTACAAGGTGTTTATCATGACTATCTGAAAATAGAATTAAATATATAACAGGATTGTTAGTGAGAATGTCTTACCTTTTCTTAGAGTATGTCCTCATTCAAAAATAGGGGTTAGGAAGGACTTGTAGTAATAAATCTTCTTAAAATTAACTATTTCTCATATATACCTTGTCATTGACTGCAGCTGAGATCTTCCTGGGGCATTGGGTTTCTGCAGTGTTGAAGAGGATATGGTGGATGGTTTCCCGTACAAAGTGCCTGAAGAATACCAAAATATGCCTCTATTGAAAGGAAGAGCCACTGTAAATATGAAGGTCAAGGTTAAGGACAATCCTAACCTTTGTGTGTGTGTTCTGCATTGTCCTGGATGGTTATAATGCTCTAGTAACTGCCGGAAATTTTGTAGATTTGGTGGAAAGGCATTTTTATGATGGCATGGAAATCCAAAGAGGTGAGATATTGATTTCACCTTTTTTTAACTACTTAATATATATATATATATATATGCTTAAAATAAAGATTTAGAATTTTAGCTATGCCTCACAAGGCTGCGGGATTCTATTTGGTTTGTTGCAGCTGATGGTTTTGTAGTCCAAACTGGAGATCCTGAGGGACCTGCAGAGGATTTTATTGATCCTAGTACAGGGAAAACCTGTACAATACCTTCAGAAACTATGGTGAATGGAGAGAAAGTACCTTTCTACAGACAAACTTTGGAAGTAAGTCTTTAGCACTCATTATCATCACTCTCCTCATCAATATCTCTATCTTGGTGAGTGCATACACCGATGTTTTTCTTTTTCCTTTTTTTTTTCTTTTTGGCTGCACAATGAATGATGGGAAATTTCTAGTTTAAAATTGAGTAAACAAAGGGGAGGGTCGTGGTGAGGTTGACATAAGTAGACAAAGACATATTGAAGTTTCAAGTTTTGGTTATCTACTTTAGTAACCATGGGTGCATGGAATATTTTGACTGAGATATGCTCATGAGTCAACAATTATCAGATGACTCTTCTTTGATTTATTCTGGTTTGATGCTTTTGTTTTTCACCTTGTATCTTTTTGTTCTCCATGCCAAGTGCTTAGAATTTTATGATATATTTTTTGTTGAAGTTCTTATCGGTAATACTATTAATTTTGTCCTTGATCAGTCGCTTGATCTTTACAAGGCTCAAACAAGGCTCAAACAAGGCTTCCATTCAATGTGTTTGGAACTATGGCCATGGCCAGAGATGTGAGAGTTATGAATATGATAAATTTTGTTAGGCTAATTGCTAAATTGATATTTCCATTTTTATTAAATTGATGTTATTATTGACAGTAGTTTGAGAACAACTTTGTTTCAAGCCAAGTGTTTTGGTTATTGAAAGAAAGTGAACTGACTCCAAGTAATGCCAACTTATTGGATGGCCGCGAAGCAGTATTTGGTTACGTTACGGATAATGAGGATTTTTTAGCAGATGTCAATGTTGTAGATGTGATATTCAAGTAGTCTCTTGCCTGGATAATCTTGTCAATCCAAGCTACAAGATTGCTGGCTAGTGAGTAATTCTGTATTCTTCTGGGTTTTAGAGGAAGCCAGTGAGAATATGCACATTTCAGCAAATTTGTTGAAGAGAGGAATTCATTCCGTTGTTTTATTTGATACTGTTGCATTTTGATTTTCAAGTGAAGAATGTAATCAATCTGAAACAACATTTAATATTGAAATTAGATTTGTTTCATAACAGCATGTTTCTGTGGTGTCCATACAATGACAACATTCGATACTTGCCAGTTTACACCACTAATTTAAAACAAATCTATTTGTCTATTTCTATTGTAGTGTTGAGTCACATGAGATGTTTTTTACTAATGTCTATTTTCAATATAATATTAATACGGGAGATGTGAATAATAAATATGTTTTAAAAAATATGCGACATGGTAGTATTATTTTCTCAAACCTTCTTCTTAACCACTATTTCCATTGGTCAAAATCATAACTAAAGACTCCAACTTAAATATGAACATTAATTTTTTTTCAACATTTTTATTGATAACCCTAAATTGCCATTTAAATTACTCAATTCTCACATGATAGGTGAAGGGAGTAATTTGGATGATAACCAATTTGTGGTCAATAATTGTTTTATTTATATAAGTCCAAAACTCATATTGTCAAGGTTTTTTTTTCGTTGAACCCATCTTTATGAAATAAAATTGGCTTCTGTCCAGTCTACGAAATCTAGTTTGGGCTTATCATACGAAATCTACTCTGGGCTTATCAGAAATCATACAACCTATTTCGAAAAGTAGGTTAAAAATTAATTTTTTAGTGTTTTTTTTTTTTTTTTGAATTTTTGAAAAAAAAAATGTGTAAAAAAGTAAAGAAGTTATGTGATTTAAAAAAATCAAAAAACTAACTTTGACTTTTAACCCAATTGTCAAAATAAGCTGAATATTTTTTTTAACCTCCAGGGTTTGACGGAACTGTAAAAATTTAAGAATAAGATTCAAAAATTTCAAGTTCGAATCATTTCAAAAAATTTTAAAAAAATTATCTAATCATTAATTTCAAAACCTTAGAATTAATTAAGTGCACACGCTAGTTCAAATACTCAATTATCATAAAAATATAGAGAATGCCACTTCACTACACTCACCACACCTAACATCACCTTATCTATATATAAAGGAGAGGCCAATATTAAGCCACTATAAAAATCTCCCTCCACCATCAACCATGGTGGTTGTGACATACCCTTCTTCTTCTTCTTCTTCCCTCCACACCCAAACCTCTACAAACCCACCACCCCATCTCAAACCCTCCCCACCTTCTCTCCTCTACCTCCACCAAATCTCCAGAATCCCCACCAGACCCAGCACCCACAAACCATCAAATTCCAATGGGGTTCTCTCTATTAAGGCTTACATGGAGGACACAAACTCTGTCTCTGGTTTTGCCAGGAAGGTGATTGGTTCGCTCCCTGTTGTTGGTCTGGTAGCCAGAATCTTGAGCGATGAAGGCGGTCTCGGTGGCGACACCATTGACTTCGCAGAGTTTCGAAGGAGGGTTGGGAAGAAATGCTCAGTCACTGATTCCAGAGCCTTCTATGAATTCAAAGATCGCCGAGGCAGGGTATATACATATATATCATTATCTCTCTGTTTTTGTGACAATTTAGTGTTTACATTTGCAAAATTTGTTTAAGTTTTTGGCAAATTACATCCATAGATTCTTATAATTCTAATGTATCAAATTGAAATTTTCTGTGTCAATTTAGTTTTGTGGGAGCCCAAAATGAGTTTGTGGCATCCACAACCCACTTAATAAGTTGATTAACTCCTCTTAACTAGTACGAAGCCTTTTCTAAAGAAGAACAAAATAGTACGAAGCCTTTTCTAAAGAAGAACAAAACCGTGAGGCACCGGTCAAAGCGCACAATATTATGCTAGTGAGGTTGGGTTGGCAACTTCATTTGGCGCCATGTGTGGGAATAAGTGGGATAAAATAATCCATTTGCTGTGTCTCAATAAAATGAAGGATTGGCATGCTTCTTGCATTTGATTGTTATCCAATTTCTGAACAATGTTGATCAAATGTGAAATATTAAAAGACAAAATTGATATACAACAAAGGGACTCAATCAACATGATTGGCAAATTACATGACCAAGGGGATAATTTGGCCTATAATTTATTTGGGGATATTGATTTTGATTATGAATTGTTATTGTGGTTTGTTTGATTTGATGTTGAATTAGTTTGAATCAAATTACTTCATTTATACTCTTTTGCTTCTTTTTATTTTGGTTTACATCAGTCAGTGTTATAATCTTTTGACATCTTATCATTTTTGAAAAAAAATTGGAATTAAGATTAAAATGTTTTATATTTTTTTTGGGTAGTCAGGGGATCCATTGTATGTCTTGCTATCGTGTTGGTTAGCGGCAGTGGGTGCTGGTTTGCTGAAATCTGAGGAAATTTTGGAGGGTGTGTCGAGGCTTCGGTTATCAAATGACATTGAGTTTGAAGAGGAGAATTTTATTTCCATGATGAATGAAGCAAAAGAGGTTAGTTCATCTCTCATGTGTTATGTTGTTGGATTTGCAGGAGTTGATTACTTCTAATCTGCTCTAGTTATTGTAGATACAGAATCTACAAAACCCCAAGAAATGCCCCAAAAGAATTTGTGTTATTATCTTAATGATTCAAAAATGTGAGCAGTGTTATTTATAGCCCTTTCCCTTATTAGGAAGTACTGACTACTACGCTACAATGTAGAAATAAATTTGAAGTACTTGGCTTTTGCTCCCAAATTGTTAGAAATGCATAAACTAAAATTCGCAACACGTAAAGCATAAAAAACTGTTGAAAAACCCAAACTCTAACATAGTCTTGTCTGTATTGTGCGGTCAATTATGTATTTAATTGGCCAACTTCAGAAGCGAGCAAAGCTAAACATACCTACCCCTACTGTTTCAATGGAGGTTCGAGCTAAGAAAGCCCTTGAAGCTATTTATGTTTGCTGCTTTGGCAAAGATCCTATTGAAGAAGAAGATGAGAGATTATTATGTATCATGCTTAATGCCGTTTTTCCCTCCGTTGGGCTACAAGAGATGACAAGAATTGTAAAAGAAAAGGCAAGAAAAGTCGCAGAAGGCAGTGAAGAAGACCAAGTTCCAGAGCCAAAGCCGTTATCTAAAGAAGCTGTACAGCTGCAAATGAAGGACCTCCAATTTCTCAAACAAAACAGTGAGACTTAAAAAGGGTTCACCTTTCTTGGTACACGATGAAATTTTGAAGTGCTGAGGAAACTCAAAGGAATTCCTTGTATTGTGTATGGTGCACCACAAAGTGGAACCAAGAAGGTAATTAGAGAACCCACATTACTATATGTATGAAACCCTGTAAGGTTGTTACTTTGTTTGAGCTATAACTAACCACTTCTCCAAGTGATTAACTCTTATCTGTCCATTTCTATACTCGGTTCTGTGATTGGAATCATAATGTCTGATTACTGTTTTCATTTTTGATATGAATTGTTTCAATCTTTATTTTAACTTGTTTCAAATTTTAAGTCCGTCAACTAGATGACTCTAAAAATAAAAAAAATACCAACGAAATGGACTAACCAATCAACTTGGTCAACTTGCTATCAGATATCAGCTGATTATGCATCATATCTAGACAAAGAGGCAGTTTTCAAACATAGCATTACCCACAATCACAAAGCACAGACAAACCCACGTCATCAACAAGAAAATTTAAGATAAATCTGATAACACTTCTAGGAACAGTGTTTGCACAATATTCATATGTATATATATCAAGAACAGGAGCAATCCATGTTTTTAACATAAATAAACAACCAAAGCAAGTTCCTTTATCTCATCTGACTGAAATCAGTGGTGGTAGGGCTTCTAATTTTTCCACCTTGACAGCCACCAAGGAGCAATCAGACTTTTTCTTTTAGACATAATTCCAAAGATTTTTCTTCCTAAACAAGAACTTTCCCAAGCATTGTGCAAACAGGATGACCTGGAAAAACAACTTAACTATTGATTTGACAATCTCATAAACCACAAAATCCTATCTTGCCTGATTGAGTTGTTTTGGCCCGGATTAGCAGTAGTGACCACATTTCCAAGAGTCACTCTTCCACAACGTTTACCAGTTCATATTCAACCAATGACAGGTTATTATCGTCTTTAACGGTGAAGCTGGCTGGTTCAGTCACCTCTACACGACCCCACTTGTCCACTGCAAGCCTCATTGACCCCTTGAACATGTCAATTTTAGCATTGCGCAATATTACAGTACCATCAGGCTTCATCAAGTCCACTGCATAAAAGGAAAGCCAAAAATTAAACTCAACAAACTCAACAGAAACTTTGCCCTAAGTTTAAGACCCGCATCAAAGAGGAAACTAAAGGGTACAACAAAAAAAAATCAATGTTCAACAGGTATGATAGGCATGACAAACATTTAAAATTTAAAGCATGGGCCAAATTACAAAAAATCAGTGGTTGTCCGCAGATAGAAAATTAAAATGACTTATGCGGGTCATGGAGGTACATCAACCGGGGAAAAATATAAAACTAAATTGTCCAAGGTAGTTAAATGCTCCAACAAGTAATGCACAATCCCATATTCATACTTTCATTATTTTTTGCCTAGTGCAGTTCTTTCTAATAATTATCCACCATTCTATCTCTCAACTAACCATTCCATTAGACCCTTGGTTAACCGTCTCTCCACCCTGTCCCTCATCAAGTTTCTATTCACCTTCCACATTAAGTGGATGACTTAAATCTAAATTACCCATAAGAATGAAATAATCAATGCACTGCAAATGGCAAGAAGATTATAATATCCCAACCTCAGGAGAAAAAAAAAAAGAGCTTGATTTTCATGGAAAGGAGCAATGAAGACGAAGAAAAAGGGAAACTCTTGATGCAGAATCTACAAAAGGAACAGACAGATGTTGTTCCCCCTTTATAAATAGAATAGCCTATATAAAACAACTGCTCTCATACACTAACAAAAACCAAATCAATATCTACATGATTCATATGCATCAAAAAGATTTAAACCACCACCACCACCACCACCATGAACAATCACCAGAAAACAATACCTTGGTCATTCCTTGCAGTAAATACAATTGTCCCAGTTTCATCTCCAACCAAACACTCAGCAATCCGCATTTGGCGTACCTGGGGGCCATCTGGTCGGCCTTTTTGTAACACCGTCTTCGAACTAACAACTTTCAGAATGAGATTATGTCCACCGGTGCCAGGTCGCAGCTGATCAACCTTAGTGAACACTGGTTTCCTCATAGCAGACTTTGCTTCAGCCATTTGTAACAAACGCTACAATATCAACAAATCACAATTGTGTTACTAGAAAACACTAATACCATAATGAATTACGTATTAGTACACACGTTCAAAACATGGTATTCCAAAACGGTAAATTTAGTGATCCGAAACGATCCCAAAAGATTTTCCAAATTTTTTTAAATATTTCCTTAGGAGGAAAGAAATCAAATATAATGAAATACAATCTAAGGTGAGTTAAGTTTTGACAAGACAACATCAAAAATGAGTCATAAGTAATACTCATAGAAATGTTTTGTTACATGAACCAAAAAAAGTATTTATTGGATGCCTAACAATTATAAGAAAATTACTCTAGAAGTATCTTAAATTCTTAAGTACTAGCCGATAGCACGCACGATCCATGTGCAATTCAAATAAGTGATAATAAAAGAAATAATAAAAAGTTTAGAATTACAATATGTATGTAGCTTAGGTGGTAAGAGTCTTCTTATCTTAAGCCTATGCACATGAGTTCAAGTCTTGCCCACTTCTTTGTATAAATTTTTTTTCCAATTTTTTTTTTTTTTTTTGAAATCTGCCATGTGACAAGAGGAGAAGCAAAGGCTTCAGGACACCAACTACATCCTTTGCTTAATATAGATAGTATAGATAATATATACAAATCTACATTTACCCCTTATCATATCACATTTTAGAGCATGTGATGCATTCACCTTCCCGGCATTTCACGTTCCAGACCCATCCACATTTCAGGTAACATAGGAATAAGTTATTCATTTTCAAAAGACTTCAGGATATTGAAAATTGAAGCCCATGTCCCCAACAGTGCATGAGCAAAACTATTCCAAGCCACAATGCGCATGCTCATGAGCACACGAGACGGAGCTTATTACATTTCAAAACATACACCCGTGTATTTAATCATCATTAAAAAATTTATCAATTGTGTCATCTCATTGTTTATAGTATTTATGATAACAGCTATAATCAATCCCATCCCATTGAAGATTCCAATTTGTTTTTATACATATAAACAAAGCAATCCAATTTTCAGTAAGAAGGAGATTAGTAATATAGCTTTTAGTTCTCCCATTTCTTTTTTTTTTTTCCTTCTTCTTCTTTTTCTTTTTCAAAACTTGATACTTTTCCAAGAGACAGTCCATTTGCAATCTTATGAAACGCATATAAAACAACACATCAACAAGCATCCAAATTCAGTATAAAACAAAGTAAGCAAAAAAGTAGATGATCTTGAGCAAATAAACAGAAAGAACAAATTTTTAATTTTACAAATAAAATAAAATCTCACAGAACACAAACAATCTCAAATCACACAGACATACAAAGATTAAAAAAAATAAATAAAACCTCGAGGTTGTTTATCATAAAAGTAAGACCTTGCAGAAATCTAAAATAAGAAATCAAAACCCTAATTTTCAGATCGAAGAAAACAAGTGATCAGATTATTAGAATCGAGAGGTGGAAATTAATTACCTTTTTGTTGAATCAAAGAGGAAATGGAGCGAATCGAGAGTTGAGAGATCGATCTTGTTTTGGTTTTGCTTTTGCTTTTGCTTTTGCTTTTTATGTTTTTAACAGTGTGGGGTTGGGCTATGTTATGTTGTGTTGTGTTGTGTTGTGTGCGAAGTGTATCTGTATAGGGGGACCCGTCGAAATCGCCTTTTGAAGGGAACCTAAAGGTTAAGTTACTGATTTATGACCACCGTTGATCTTCCACTTTTTGTGATCAGATCTTAACCGTCCACGTCTTTAGGACTTGGACGCCAAACGCGTTATTAGTCGTTACTTTTGTGATGGTTTTCTTTCCGGTATAGCACGGCCCACCTAATTCTCGTGAGCACGGTTAAAGTGACTATAGCCCTGTTTGTTTTTAATTTAATGAATTTAATATTGTATCAAAATTTCAAACGAAACTTTTACAAATTGAAGTTGAGTTAAGTTTGAGTAATTTAATTTTTTTACAAAATATATAAATTAATTAAATTGAGTAGTAAATTATTAAAATTTGAATTGAAAATTCAATAAATTTAAAATTATTTTTAAATTTGACTTATTATTTATATAATGAGTCAATCTCAAACGAGTTTATAACAAACTAAATATGAGCCAAACTAAAAATTCATATGTGAGTTGTTGATAATTTAATTTGTAATATTAACATAACTCTATTTTAATAACGGATAATGATATTCGATCTAAACAATTTTATAAAGGATGCCCCATATAAGAGTATGGCTTGCTTTGACAATTTGGTTTTAAAAAAAAAAAAATTATTTATTTTTATTTTTTTGACTTTTTTATATCACATTATTTCTATATTTTTTTATACATTTTTTAAAAAAAAAATTAAAAATTAAAAAAAATTAATTTTTAACCTACTCCCCAAAACAAACTTATATAGGCCTCGTCTGTTTTTAGAGATAATTGATGATGAGGGGATTAAGTAAAATTGTATTTATTTTGATGATAATTGTTAGTGTAGGGATTATTAAATTATTTTTATTTAAAATAATAAAACAAATAAAAAAATACAAAAATATTAAACATTAATGTTTTTAAAAAAATGCCCAACATGTAAAAAAAATTTAAAAAAATAAAAATAAAATAAAAAATTTCCAGAAAAAAATAAAACAAATAAAATAATGATTTTTACTTAATAAAAAATATAAAAAAAATTAAACATTAATGTTCAAAAAAAATGCCTGACATGTAAAAAATAAAATAAAAAATAAATAAAAATTAATAATTTCTAGTTCGCCGAACTATTTTTCTAATACCAAGTCTTGGAGATCCATTCGAATTCTCTTGGGGAGGCCCATCCTAATCCGGAACTCACTATTAATCCTCTCCCCATCTCTTAAAACAAACATAATATTAATAGATTTCACCTCATTACTAATTTCAGTCCCCCTCTAACTCTCCAAATAAACGAGCATCAAGTAGTACTAAAACCGCCAAAATCGTTTCAACGTGCATGTTTTCAGTTCTTGGGGTCAAGATTTAGCAGGTTGGTGCATATTTGCGTCTCATATTAATTTTTTTTTTAAATATCTCTATAATTGATGTTTATTTAAAATAATAAAAAAAAATTACAACCAAGATTATAAATTTAACAAAGTAAGACCTCTTATCACTCAACATCACATACTAATATATATATTTTTATAGGTTTTCTTTTTAGGATCTCTAATATTAAGATTTTATAGTATAAAGAACATTTAATATTTTCATAATGTCTAAAGTCCCTCAACATTAATTTAGAGAAATTTCAATCTAGAGAAATTCTTCCTAGAGAAATTCTAGACTTCTCAAAGAATTTCTCTGGATTTAAACAAAAAAAAATTCAAATTTCTTTGAGTTTAAATCAGAGAAAATTGAACAACACAGAGAAAATTAAACAGTGCAGAGAAAATTACCCAAAGAAAATTAAAATTTCTCAAAGTTCAAATAAAAGAAATCCAAAGAAAATTGATCAAAACAAAATACTAACGATTTCTTGCAATTTCCTCACCAAAATACTAAATTTTGTAAATTTACAGCCCAACTTCCTAACAAATTTCTTATTTTTGATCAACCTTCAAAATCCAAATCCAAATCCCCAATTCACCAACTTAGCAAAATTACACAGCAAAACTATAATACAAAACTAGAGCTTCAACCCATTTCTTAACCAAAATAGTACTAAAATTCGTGAAATTAGAGCCAAATTTCTCAACAAAAAAAAATCCCATAATTGGATCAAGCTTCAAACCCCAAACCCGAATCCAAACTCTGGTAAATTACTGAGAATTTCTCTATGTTTTGACTAATTTTCTCTAGTTTGCTTATAATTTTCTCTGTATTTTTTATCAAATCAGAAAAAATTGAGTAACCACCATTTTCATTTTAACCAATTTTCTTTGGACTGTAAGACATTTAGACAATAACAAAACAGAGAAAATTGAACAACCACCATTTTTATTTTGACCAATTTTCTCTAAACTGTAAGACAGTTAGACAACAATAAACCAGAGAAAATTAAACAACCACCATTTTCATTTTGACCAATTTTTTTTGGACTGTAAGACATTTAGACAACAACAAACTAAAGAAAATTGAGCAATCACCATTTTTATTTTGACCAACTTTCTCTAGACTATAAGACACAATATTATTTGATGAAATCCGGAGAAATTTCCCAAATACATCTTCAAAAAACCAATCATCACATAAATTTATTCCAACAACTGTTACACTATGTTTGAATTGAGTGATTTGGAGAGGGAAAAAAAAAGAAAAAAAAAAGAAATAGAGAAATATGCATTTCTATTACTTGTTTGGGTAATTTAAGCGGAGAGAAATGCGGATAAATTAAGAGAAACGAAGAGAAACCCATTTCTATTATAACTCTCATTTTCAATCTTTCCAAAAGTTAATAGAGTGAGAGAGAAAAAAAACCAACAAATTCTTATATTTTTATAATACCAATTTTGTCCCTGTAAAACAATGCTCTTATATAGTGATAAAATATAAAAAGTGTCACAACCCAAACCCGTCCCTATAAGTTTAGCGTCATGACCGACCAATAATCATAGATTACCTACGGCCTCCATACAAATTAATCCGTTTAATATAAAGTACAGGGCTTAGCGAAAGTATAATAGAACATAACATTCATTTATTGAGCTGTGCATATATGAAAAGAACTTTTTATAATAAGCAAAGATTTGCTCAAAAAGTACATTCATCACATTTGTACAAACTTTCATGTCTTATAGTTATACAAACCCCAACTATTCACAAATACAAAACCATTGAACAAACAAAAAAAAGGGTTTAGCTAGCATGGCTTCAACAAAGCCTGGTTCACTTCGCTTGGAAGCTCCTCAAAAGGCTGACTTAGGTAGGCTCGAGACTTTCTTAACTCTGATGTTCAGCTTCCCACTTACATATATATAAATAATTAGTGAGCCAAGGCCTAGTGAGCAACAACAGAATAGAGAGGTTATATGAATGAAGTTCGATAACATTGTCAAACTAGTTCCTAATAATCAATTCTCATTAACTAATAAATTTCATTATCGATATCTTTCAATATTAAATTAAGTGGTACATCCATGAGGCGATAATATTCCAATAACAATGGACCATAAAGGTCAAGCTAATGGACCAAACCAATGGGCCACGAAAGGTCAATCCAATGGACCACAAAGGGTCGAACAAAAGATCTTTGTGTTTCAATTATTCCAATAGGCATGGTATTGTTAACCCCAGGCAAGAGCCCATAATCAATGGATGCCACAATATAATTTCAGAAATGAACTTCATTCATCGATAGAAAGTAACATTTTAATAAATCGTTCAATCAATCGCATATTGATTTTAAGAACAATAACAATTTCAAAGATAAATATTACTTGAACATATCTTTATAGAGTTATTATTCATAGTGGGTTATGTTGTCACTAGCCCTCGGGTGTCCACCTAAACAAAACACATAACAAAAGTATAATTAAAGCACTGTTCAATATCCATTCCACTTTAATTAAATTTCTCTCATGTGTTTCTAACTCATTCTATGTTTATATGAGCTCAATTGGTGCTAAGAGTACTTGAAATGACATAAGGATGCAAGTATGCACTTAAAAAAGTTAGTCAAACTTTGCTGAAAATAGGTTATTCGCTCGAGCGCAACTTCTGTCGCTTAAGCGGACTATAAACTCCGTAAAAGTACTGGTTGCATGAATTTTCCGCTCGATGGTCGCTCGAGCGGAAGACTGTGAAAAAGGGGTCCTCGCTTGAGCGCAACTTTGGTTGCTCAAGTAGTCTGCAAAATTTTATAAAACTTTTAAGAGTGTGAATTTTTCGCTCGAGCAAGCATTTCTTCGCTCGAGTCAGCTAGTTATAATCTAGGTTTTCCAATTTGACATTTGAAGTTCAAAAATGATATTCAAAGCCCCATAACTTGTATTTCTTGTACAAAAACATGGAAAATCACTATATAACTAGAAAACACTCCCAATTTGAAATTATTTACTCAAAATCATGATCCAATTGACAACCCAAAGCTTGAAACTCTATATTATGAACCATGCATATATCACATTGAATTTGTATTTTCTTATATCTTTCCAAAACTTGATCAACCCACATGATAAGTATGCAAACATGGGAAAGCCCTCAAGTTAAGTTGCAAAAATGCCATGCATGTAAGAATTTCATGGATTCTAACTCAAAATGCACATGCATGTATACAATTCAACTTTTTTCCACCAGATTCATGGAAATCTAACACATCTTTTAATTACATGCAAAAGAGTGCTAGAACTAGTTGAATTAAACTTCTCCATGCAATATTTCCAAGAATTAATGATAGATTTCTTACTCAGTGTTGAATACAAGTGTTGGCCTAGCTTAATTCATCAAATCTCTAGCAATTCTCTTCAAATCTCTTATTTCTCTCTTTAAAGTGTTGAGCTCTCCTTCTTCCTCTCTCAATTCTCAGCCAAGAGTTGTATATCATATAAGCTCAAGACTTAATTAGGCTATATATAAGTATAGATTAGTTTAGAACAATCAAGATTGATTAATACCAACTAATTGGGCTCAATTCTAATTAATTCAATCAGTTTATTCTAAATATTTTAATCCAAATCAA